GTCTTCCCAGGGATCCCTCTGCCTCCATCCCCTGCCCCCCGGCGTGTTCCCCTGGGGCTCCCTGCGCCCCCCGTCCCATCTTCCCAGAGCTCCTTGCACCTGCTCTCTGTCTTTCCTGTTCCTCCCTCCGCCTGCTCTCTGGATCCGAGCAGCTTCCCTCTCCCCACTGCAGCCAACTCTCTTCCTGCCCATCTGGCTGTGGTAGTGCTCTGTACAGGCTGTGTCCTAGTAACCACAGTTTCTCCAACCCAGTCAATGAAAGCCATCATGGAAACAGAGCAAACCACCTCCGAGTTCCTTGTGCCCATGCTCACCACGGCGGACACGGGCCTCTGGGAATGCAGAGTCTGCACCAGCAGGGGTCAGGACAGCAGGAGAGTCAAGGTCAATGTCAAAGGTGAGCAGCTGGGATAGCTGAGGCAGCTAGAGAGAGGTGGAATCTCCACTGCTGGAGACGTCCAGCTCCCTCGGGAGCCCAATGTCTGAGTTACCCGTTGCTTGTTCCGTGTCTGTGTTACACGTTGCTTTGCTCAGTATCTGTGTTACACGCTGCTTGTTCCGTGTCTGTATTACACATTGCTTGTTCCGTGTCTGTGTTACACGTTGCTTTGCTCAGTATCTGTGTTACACGCTGCTTGTTCCGTGTCTGTGTTACACGTTGCTTTGCTCAGTATCTGTGTTACACGCTGCTTGTTCCGTGTCTGTGTTACACGTTGCTTTGCTCAGTATCTGTGTTACACGCTGCTTGTTCCGTGTCTGTGTTACACGTTGCTTTGCTCAGTATCTGTGTTACACGCTGCTTGTTCCGTGTCTGTGTTACACGTTGCTTTGCTCAGTATCTGTGTTACACGCTGCTTGTTCCGTGTCTGTGTTACACGTTGCTTTGCTCAGTATCTGTGTTACACGCTGCTTGTTCCGTGTCTGTGTTACACGTTGCTTTGCTCAGTATCTGTGTTACACGCTGCTTGTTCCGTGTCTGTGTTACACGTTGCTTTGCTCAGTATCTGTGTTACACGCTGCTTGTTCCGTGTCTGTGTTACACGTTGCTTTGCTCAGTATCTGTGTTACACGCTGCTTGTTCCGTGTCTGTGTTACACGTTGCTTTGCTCAGTATCTGTGTTACACGCTGCTTGTTCCGTGTCTGTGTTACACGTTGCTTGTTCCGTGTCTGTGTTACACGCTGCTTTGCTCAGTATCTGTGTTACACGCTGCTTGTTCCGTGTCTGTGTTACACGTTGCTTTGCTCAGTATCTGTGTTACACGTTGCTTTGCTCAGTATCTGTGTTACACGTTGCTTTTTCTGTGCCTGTGTTCCACATTGCTTTGTTCTGTGTCTCACATTGCTTTGTTCCATGCCCGTGTTACATGTTGCTTTGCTCCGTGTCTGTGTTACATGTTGCTTTGTTCCATGCCCGTGCTACATGTTGCTTTGCTCCGTGCCCGTGTTACATGTTGCTTTGCTCCGTGCCCGTGTTACACGTTGCTTTGCTCCATGCCCGTGTTACATGTTGCTTTGCTCCGTGCCCGTGTTACATGTTGCTTTGCGCCATGCCCGTGCTACATGTCACTTTGCTCCGTGTCTGTGTTCCACGCTGCTTTGCTCTTCCTTGCCTCCCCGTCATGTTGGGTGTCTTGATGTTGGTTCTGTTCTTTGCCTATAGTACCCCCAGTGCCACTCAATCCCCCGCGGTTGCTGGCCAAGCAGAGTCGGCAGCTTGTGGTGTCCCCTGTGGATGGTTTCAGTGGTGACGGCCCAATCGCCTCCATCAAGCTGCTCTACAAGCCCAAGGACGTCACCTCACCTTGGTCATCCATCGTGGGTGAGGCCTCCGCTTGCGAGGGGCGGGCTCGAACTCAGAGGGGCGACTGCTCTGCCGCTTCCCCACTGCCAGGAACCTTCCCTCACGTCTCTGCCACTTGGCGCTTCCCGCCTGCATTTTGCTCACTTTTGGGCCATGCTGACCCTCTAGTGTGACTGCCCCTTCTCCAGGAGTTAGCCCTCCGCCTCCTGGAGCCGCACCTCTCGGCCTTCAGCCCGCATGTTTCTGCTGTGAGCCCCCACGGGGTGTCCCCTCATTCTGGACCCCGGGCCCCGCTCCCCGAGGGAACAGGGCAGCCCAGGTCTGCAGCCCGGAGCGACTCCCACATACTAGCGGGTTTAGTGAGCTTCGAACCCGGCCCAGCAGCTCTCTGGCCCCCCCAGCCCAGCCCGTCTGAGTCTGCCCTGCAGCCAGGGGGGCCTGCCCTGTCCAGGGAGGGACCCGTCTCCCAGACCAGTCTTTGATCTTCCGCCAGCAGCCCCTCCCCCGGCCTTTGTCTTCTGTCCCAGTAACCAGGGTCGCCTGGGCCCCCTCTTCTCCCTTCCCCTCCCCCCCTTTGCTCCCCCTGGCTGGAACCGGCTGGGCAGGGCACTGGGGCCTCTCTCTGGCCAGACCCGGCTGTGCCCTCCAAGCTGGGCCTGCCGGGCACCAGTCACTGGGGCTCCAGTTCTGTGCTGTTCCCTGCAACCACAAACTCCCCCTCCCCCCCTCGCCACGTTAAACCAGGGACCCCCAGGGACACTGAGTGCCACCTCCCACGCATGGAACCTTTGCACCCCCCAGGGCCTCTTTGTCACAGCTACTGCTCCCAGTTTGGTGTCATGCTCAAATTTGGCCACAATTGACTTTACAGCAAGGACACTTCTACCCAGGGAGGCCTGAGCCACTGGCCTCTGGTTCTGAGCGAGTGAGTCAGTAAAGCCCATGGAGACCCTCCCAGGCTGTGTGAAAACCAGCAGAACCTGGTGCTACATAGAGATTGGAGTAGGAGTGCTGGGGGCCGACTGGCTAAGCACTGGGAACCGACTGGTTAGAACATAAGAACGGCCGTACTGGGTTAGACCAAAGGTCCATCTAGCCCAGTATCCTGTCTGCCGACAGTGGCCAGCACCAGGTGCCCCGGAGAGGGTGGACTGAAGACAATGATCAAGGGATTTGTCTCCTGCCATCCCTCTCCAGCCTCTGACAGACAGAGGCCAAGG